CCGTTTCGTTTCCATTTTCTTTTCGCGAATAAATTTCTCGTCGTCCGGTCGAACGAATCTTAACCTCTGAGGAAGGCAAGAGTGTATCGCTTTCCAGGATTCGACAATTTCTTCGGACGTAGAAACGCAATTAGAAAGTATTAACGATGATCTCGTGGATGTCAGTTACGTGTGCGGTTGGTTACCTACCGCGAAGGATGCGGTATTTTTTGATTTCTGTGCCACCACGCTTGTCCACGACCACCACCACCATCCGCTACTCTCTAAATGGCCACACTTGAAAAGATGGTTTGCGAACGTTCGAAGCTTCGATGTAGCCGAACGTAACATGTTTCCCGAACCGAAAGGGCCGGTTGTTAACTCGTTGGTGGAGAAGGTTGATCGTATATGCAACCTTTGCGATCGAAATGCGATTGACCGAAAGGTGAGGCGGTTATTCGTTGGCAAGCAAAGTCGCTATAAATTATAGAGATTGGTTATTATTATTATTATTATTATTATTATCGGTTACATACGCGCCACGTGTATGCGTATACAGACCCGTCGAATAACGTATCTCCCGAGAAACGATATTCGATCACCGAGACGTGTTCTTTATAGAAGAAGAAAAAAAACATGACGCGATAGAACGTGAACAAAACGTAATTCATAGCGTTTGCTTGTTAGAGCTCACTTACATGGTACTGTTTGTTCTGTTTGGTCGGGGCTAGTTTGATAATCAACATTGAGGCGGACTTTTCTCTTTGATTCTGGTTCTCTTTTAAACCACCGGCTGTCTCTCCTCGTTTCTGATGATGTTGTGTTCGATGTGGACCAACGCCATCCTCCTACTACCTGCACGAAAATATTGCCACGCAACGATGCTTTCGAGTCTGAAGGTATGCAAGTTGTTGTTGTTGTTGTTGTTGTTACATTCGGAGTTTTCTTTCGTGAGGAAAGAAAAGGGAGAGCGAGAGAGAAAAAGAGATGAAATTAAACGTGTTGCAATTTGTTGATATTGATCGAAGGTCGTTGATTTATGCTTATTTTGCGCAGATAGCAGACGAAGTAGGAAAATTGTTGCAGCTGAAAGTTCGATTGGGGGACACACCACCACCTTCGCCACCTTCGAAACTTCTTCTCAAAACACCGAAAGGTACGAGAGATTATTCTCCCGAGCAAATGGCCTTACGATTGGGAGTGTTGGATAAAATAATAACGGTGTTTAAAAAGCATGGCGCCGAGACTATCGATACTCCGGTGTTTGAATTAAAGGTAAGTGGTAAGAAGCAGCAGGAGTGTTGTTGCAATTGTTGTAGGTAAAACAGAATTGGCGATATTTAAATTGCCATTGTTTCTCGAACGTAGGAAGTTTTGACAGGGAAATACGGCGAAGATTCGAAGCTGATCTACGACTTGAAGGATCAGGGTGGAGAAATTTTAGCCCTTAGATACGATTTGACCGTACCTTTCGCTAGGTATCTAGCCATGGGAAAGATCTCTTCTATCAAGAGGTACCACATAGCGAAAGTTTATCGAAGGGATAATCCGTCTACGACAAGGGGTAGATACAGGGAATTCTATCAATGCGTAAGTCTCTCTCTCGGTTCGTCTAATCGAATACTTAACATTGAGAGAAAACGTTAATTGATATTTAGGTGATATTTATTTTTGTTGGTGAAAGGATTTCGACATAGCCGGTCGGTACGATCCGATGATACCAGATGTGGAATGCATTCGCGTTATTTCCGAAACCCTACGGTCCTTGGACGTAGGGTCTTATACCGTAAAATTGAATCATAGATCGTTGCTGGACGGTATATTTGCTGCTTGCGGCGTTCCGAATGATAAATTTCGCGCGGTGTGCTCTGCGATTGATAAGCTCGACAAGAGTCCTTGGCCGGAGGTGAGAAAAGAGATAGTGGAGGAAAAAGGGTTGAACGAGTCGGTTGTCGATAAAATTGGCATGTACGTGTCGCGATCTGGTGGAGAGGAACTTATCTCCGAATTAAGGGACGACGGAGAATTGATGAGATATAAGTCGGCGGTGGATGGGCTTGAATCTATGGCGTTACTCTTCAAATATAGCAACATACTGGAACTGACTGATAAAATAACGTTCGATCTGAGCCTTGCTAGAGGACTCGATTATTACACCGGTTTGATCTTCGAAGCGCTATTGATCGGTAAGAAGTGCTTTCCTATCTGCCGATCTATACACGTATACGTATCGTTTTCTTTTTTATTCGCAGGCGACGACGTTGGCGTTGGTAGCGTCGCGGGCGGTGGTCGTTACGACGATTTGGTGGGAATGTTCGACAGCAAAAAGAAATCCGTACCTTGCGTCGGTCTATCGTTCGGCGTCGAACGTCTTTTCAACGTTCTACAGGCGAAATTGAATCGCGAAAACGTGAAGATACGTACTACCGAAGTTGAGGTGTTCGTAGCGACTGCTCAAAAAAATTTGCACGAGGAAAGGATGAAGATCTTGTCGATTCTTTGGGATGCTGATCTGAAAGCCGAACAATCCTACAGAAAGAACACGAATTTACTCACGCAGTTGCAGTACTGCGAAGCAAGTGGAATACCGCTGGTTGTAATAATCGGAGCACGAGAATTGGCAGCAGGCGAAGTAACGTTGAAGGACGTTGCGTCCCGCGCAGAAGTTTCGGTTCCGCGAGTACGCTTAGTCGAAGAGATCAGGAAAAGGCTACGGAAATGATGAATTGCTTTCGAACGCGCGTGGTTCGTTAATTTCTATCGTTGAATAACGTTGTAACAGAAAAGAGTGTGGTTGTTGGATTATTACGATGTATTTTTTTTAGGGGATACGTCGTTCGATATATTTCGACACGCGCGACGACGAAAGAGGAGAAGCGTTCCTGTGTAAACTAAATTATATTACGTCGTGTATGGAATAAAAGTGAAATTGTTTCAGGAATCGCATCGCTGGGGGGAAATGCTGTGTGTTACGTCGTTAGAATATAATATGTACGTAATGTGTATTCTTATATGTCCGTTATATGTCCGTATTCTTATATGTTCTCTCGCTACTCGTGTTCAGTGATCCGATGAACCGCGAAGAGACGAAGCAAGCGTAACCTGAATTTTTTATATCGTTCTCTGTTTCGCTTCCTTTTCTCCCTAGCATGCTCGAATATCTATCTGTTGGAAGGAGAGCAAGACGATTTAATCTTAATTATCCCGATTTATTAGATCTATGCCGCCGCCCGCGGCTGTGTGTGCACTCTACTATATCGGAAACAGCGGATTTTCGAAACAGCAATCGTGTATCACGATTTACTCGTAGACGAATTTGATTGGTGCTTTTCAATTTTCAGTTCGGTGAGATCGGTGGAATTGTCTGAAGATATTATGTCTGTTGTAATTATCGCGAAGGGATTCCGAATGGTATTTATTGTTGTTGAGACGGGATTTTCAATTTTGACCTCGATCAACGATTGCTGCGATTCCGGCGTGATTTCGTCGCCGCCTAACTGTGAACGCGAATCGATTTTCTCGAATCGATGAAAGTTCGTAGATGGCGAGTGTCGATCTTCTGGATCGTTCGAAGTTGTAAATTCACGATCCGACGAACTTTCGACGGTATTGGCATCGTCGTTGGAGCTTCCGTGCAGAGAAACGTTCTTACAAATAGTATCGCGACGTAGACTTTTTTCATAAATACTCTCTTTAATGTCCTCCGCGTGAACATCGCTCAAACTGAAAGCTCTGACACGACGTCGAAGATTCATTTCACCGATTTGTCGCTGCAACATGCCGGCCTTCCACCGAGGTATGGTTCTGAGTGTAGTAGTAACGGTGTTACCAGTTGCTCCCGTCGTTGAAACCAGGCTTTGATTTTGATGAGCGGGTCGTAGGGAGAAACGACGACGACGACGACCACCACCACCACCACCACCACCACCCGACGGTGAGAGTTGTTGTTTTATCGGTGAGGAAAGACCCGGCGTTCCTTCGGTTCGAATAAGAGGTTCTCTCGGTGATTCGAACAAGAACGTCGACTTACTTTCGTACGGTGTCCGCCGTGATTCCTAAAAATGTGAAGAGAGTTTTTCACGAATGGCTCGGTGATAAATATTGTGTGTGTGTGCGCGCGCGCGCATCGAGGATTATTTGTTTTACCGACCGATAGGAATGGCGATCCGTTGTTCGGCGGAGGTGTCGGAGGACTAACGGGCGTGGCGACAGGTCTTAAAGAGAACCTTCGCGATTTGACTACGGTAGGTGTGACGAAGGCCAAACTGCCCCTTCTCGACGACTCTCGACGAGTTTGAGGCCATGGTGGCTTATTCTCGTACCCGGTGATGGTGTTCTGGTTACTTTGGGTGGTCGACGATACAGGCGGAGAAGGTGAAAATAACGTGAACAAACTCGGAAGTTTCGGCGGTGTGAGAGAAGCGGTGCCCATTTTCCTTCGAGGTTGATTTTTCCGAAGCTGATCGTCGTTGAAGCTGCCGCCGCCGCCGTTATCGTTATCAGCAGCTGAAGCAACGCTCGCGTGAAGAACCGTGAGAGCCCTCAAAAAATCGGCTACGCTCGTTTCCTCGAGCAAATTGTTGGTACCATCTGTACTGAAATTATTAGCTGCAGCACCACCACCGGTATGCGTGTAATAATAGTGGTTGCGTTGATTGAAAGTTGTCGAGTTGTCCAAGTCGTTCCGTCTGTCGTCGATAGACGTCGTCGCCGGTGGTCCGACCTCGTTCTTCCCGTTAACCTCCTGTTCGAATTCCGAACTCCTCCTGCTCCTCCTCTTCCTCAACGAACTCGTTGAGAAACGACTTTTCCAAGGCCCGGACGAGACGAACGCCTTTGAAACAACGGACTTTGCGAACGTAAAGTTACCAAGTTTCGAAAATTTCGTTTCTTTAACGCCACCACGCCGCTCTTTGCTGCTCCACGAGGATTCCATAGCTCGCGCTCTCGTCAGTTCTTGAATTTTTCTAGCTGCCGTTGGCCCGGACCAAGTCCGTTCGATGTTCCGATCCTCGTTTCTCCTCTCGTACAATCGAATTTCACTAGCCGCCCTAGAACGTGGTCTCGAGAAACGTCGTCGCGGCGGCGGGATCTTCTCGTGGCCGATTCTCCAAGCTGCGTATTCTTTTCCCTCTTTGCTCTCACCGTCCTCTTGGATTATTCCGTTACGAGCACCACCGACGAATGTTGTCTGACTCGAAGCATCGCCTCCTTCGATCTCGTCTTCGGTAGCTGGGGGTATGTAGCCAAGAATGTTGACCAATCGCGCCAATAATTCTGCCGGTTGAACCATCGCGTGTGTCGCGAATGTTGCCGTTTTATCGATTCTTTGAAGATCCGTCTCAGATACGACGCGCGTCAGTTCATCTTGTTCCTGAGAGAACGGAAATGTTTGTAACAAGGGGGGGCTGCTGGAGGGGATAGAGTGTTCGCTTACCGTTGGTACCACCTCGCTGTTGGCGCGACGTCGAGGTCTGTAAAATTGTACAAAGTCTTTCTCTTTCGAGCCGTACGACAGATCCCGAAGGTCGGGAAAACTGTTACTTCGGGGAAACTTGGAGGGTGGTATCTCGCAGTAACATTCGTCGACGTACACCCTCTGAAACACGCATCGGAAATGAATTTTCCCCGCTTTTTTGATCTCGCGCGTCACGTTCCTTCGCATTCCTCGCGCGTCACGTTCCTTCGCATTCCTCGCGCGTACCTTCACTTTAGAGAGTTGAAGCTCGTTGAAAACACGTCGCAGGTAGTTCATCTCCTTGTTGAATTCACTCCAGATTTTACTTTGCGTATGCTTCAAATTCATGGCCAGTTTATGTTCGATTCTAGTGATCTTTTTACTACGCATACCTCGAGCGATAAAAGTCATGATCATGACGGTATATCCCAATCCAAAGGAGATCCAACAGATCAAGAAGGTTTTATACAACATGAAGAAAAATCCGTTACCCTTACTATTGTCCTGTCCTATCGAATAGGATTCGCAAGACCGTTTAATATTTGTCTCAAGTTAGAGATAACGCGATGTAAAATGTATTTGTTACCGTAGCAAAGAAACAAAAAAAACGCGCGAGAAGAAGAAGAATGCGAACACAGTCGTAGCTGTTTTTACCTCGAGACGTAGAATCCTTGCAAGCACGTGGGTAATACGTATGTAATCTCTAAATGAAATTTATACGTATATGTACATGTATATGATTTAAGAATGAAGGAAAAAACGTGTCTCGTATTCGTCGAGGTATGAGAGTTAATCTAATCGTACGAGTTTAGTTGTTATACGTAGTTATGCGTTGCGTAAAGGATCGACGGAAGGGTATTCTGACCTGCCACGTAATCTCCGAAACCTATAGTGGTCAATGTGACGAATGCGTAGTAAACGGCTTCGTCGTAACTCCAACCCTCGTAGTGAGAGAACAGAAATGCCGGGAAAAAAATGAACATGACGAAGCCTGGCATCAGATGAACGAATATCTGTGCGGCCAATCCAACTTTTCCCGTTTCGAACGTTGTCAATTTTCCGGGGTAGTAATCGTTACGGCCGTGTTTGTACGATTTATATTTCTGATGCGCGTTCACAAATACATGTCCGAAAAATTCTCCCAGTTGCGTTAACAAAATTCCATTCATAGGTATGCCTATCAGGCCGTACAGTATCATCAGGATGCGACTGAGCATGTTCGTCGGAGCCAAGTTCCCGTAACCTACGTGCACGAACGTTGTACGTATTACATGGTTAAAAATTCCCAACACGATTTCTGGATCGGAAATGTACGTATATGTAAGAAACACTCGACAACGAAGAATTAAAATCCGGATAGTGCGGTATCCCAAAAATAACTTGTTCTTTATTTCTAAGCGCTTCTTAAGATTTCCGGCGTCCGTCTTGCTCGACGGCTATTTCCAGAATGTCCTTTCCGCGTCGTATCCCACGTTGCTCCGAAAAACCGTTGGAGCCCCCTCGTTCGACTTTCCGGGGAAAGGGCATAGTTTATGGGACCCTCAGGTACCCGCGCGCTTTCTCTTCCTGGGTGACAAATTCCAGGCCACCACTTTGCCGGCGGAATCTCGCATTTCTTACATATACATATGTACTTGCATGCGTACAAGTTGCGCGTATTGTGAAAATGAACAATTTACAAACTGTGAAACTTGTACGCGTAGGATACGTACCTATTGTGCTGACAACGGTGTAAGCGAAGTAAAAGCTGTTGTAAAAATCCCATTTCGCGGGATCCGTCTCGCTTTCGGTATAATTGTATACTGATTTTCCACAATACCGCGTCAGTTTTCCAAGAATTTCATCGTGATCGTGACTAATGCTGGGTACGTAATGTGCGTGAAGTAAAGCTGAAAAAAGGCAACGGAACCCAAGTTGGAATTGGGAAATCGAGTAGGGTGAGTAGTATGTAATCCGATAACCACCGATATGTCTATACTAAACTGTAAGTAAGTATGTACTTTGCTCCCGAGCGAATGTGTTTTATCTTATCGTATCTTATTCGTTTGTCGAACGTGTCACCGTTTCTTTCGTGGAACTTAACTTCGATTAGGTATGTTTGTACGATAAGATGCATTTTCGACGGTATCGGAAGTAGTGTCGAATTCGAAGGAGAACCGGGGAATTTTTGCCGTTAATCGAGGATGAAAACGTGCGAATTGGTCGATCGATCGCATTGTAAATTAATTTACAATTTCCGAAATGGTGCTGCACTCACCGTTGATCTCTATGCGTTCGCGTTTCGCTTCTGCGATGCGTTTCATCTCTAGCTGACTCTCGATATGATAGAAGATGGAAGCACCTAGCAACAAGTAAGTCAAGAACAGCATCAGCAGAACCATCCATTGTTTCTTCGACATGCTTTCCTCGAGAGTTGAAGATTACAGGAACAAGTGCAAAAGTGGAGGATGCGCAATGATATACATATGCGCGAGTTTCATGGGTTCGCTTCCGGTTTTTGCTTCCGATAAAGTTCCGATTGTTGTTGGTCTCTACGAGAGGAAGTCCTTGATAATGGTGCATCGAGTAACGGTGGTAGTTGATTCACAGTTATGTGAATCCACGGATTGCCGACGCGATTCTTATTACCGTACAACCACACTACAAACAGATTACGAACGGTCAAGCAGGCGACGACATTATCGCGTGATAACTCTTTAGACTCTGATTTCACGACCTTCGAAAGTCACCTTCTTTTCCCTCGATGACGACGGCTCGGTTAGATATCTGATACGAGTAACCGTTTTATCGATAGCAAGCGAGAGATGATGATGTTCTTTAAACTTCTTCTTCTCTTCCTTCCTCCGGATACTCTGAAAGAACGATGCTAAATGCCGATCGAACTAAAAATTAAACGAAAATTCTCGAGCCCGGCTGCGGCGAACCACTTACGCACCACGTCTACGTACATTTCTTGTGTATTATATCTACGTGTATCTATGTGTATTCCTTAAGATAGGGGTGCGAACGCGGTCCGAACTGAATTACGACCTTACGAGCGGCGGCGACGGCGATACAGAGTAGAGAGAAGAGAACGAATTCTTGAAACTTGACAAAAGATTCGAGCGACGATGAGAGAAGAACGTGGACTAATTTCGATTCTTACCGGTCCGGAGGGAGACGACTGAGAGAGAGAGAGAGAGAGAGAGAGAGAGAGAGAGAGAGAAAGAGAGGCGATTCTAACGAAACAAAGGATTCGAAACAAAAGTGGCTTTTGTCACCGTTGAATCCGTCTACGGTCGAACTTACTACACGTTAGGGACGTTCCTCGAACGCGTGACTGTAATTTTCGCACCGTAATTTACCGTCGACGAAAATAATGTTCCCTTCGACGATACACACCTCTTTTTACGTAACGTTGCGCGATGTATTTAGTAAAACGCAATATATCCTGTTAGTTGAAAGATCGAAGGACAAGATCGATCGAACGCATGATTTATCGCCTGAAGAATATGTTTGTCCCAGTTGCGTTTCCTGTTCAGCCTCGGTCGTTTATTTCTCGGCAGTCTGCTTATTTGCTGACTTTTAACTTTATTCATCCCTGTATGTATTATACAAATATTCCTATCGAATGTTTATTTCAATCCTGACAAACGGATCGACGTATATGCAACGAATTTTGCGATACATATTCGTCTATAGCTGCGTCTACCTACACGTATGTAGAAATTCCGCCGATCGCGTACGTACATACATACATGGTGTACAACAGCTTATCTTCTTTACACATTGAGACAAAGCAAAGCAGATGCCCGAGTAAACGTGGATATTATACCCCACCCGTATAGGTACTAACGAGAACAGAGATGTATTCTCGATAATAAGCTGTTGAAAGTAAAATAATACAGTGTTAGATTCGATAACGCGCGCGCGTGGTTTCGAAACGAAAGGAAGAAAATAAATATCGATTTCGAATGAAAAGAAAAGTATCGCGTACGTATCCTCGGTTCATCCCTCGTACCTCTCAATTGGTATAATCGGTATGTCCAACTTTTCGCTCTTGCTATCGTCCGATATCCTCGGTCGTCGTCTTCCCCGTATCTTTACTATCGCGGTTAGGTAGATTTTCTCCGCTGCTGTTGCATGTACATACTACACGTGTACTACATACGATGCACGGATGGTAACGTTCGAAAAGTGACAATTCCGAAGAGTGGGAAGAATACCAGATATTCCGAATAAAAATAAGAACCTCGCCTCTCTTTCTCTCACGCCCTCCTGTATTGTTATATCGTGGAAGAAATGCATCGTAGTCTAAAAGGATTACGTACCCGTGAAAAGCAATCGTGCATGCTTCCACTTCGTGATACTTTTTCTCTCCGCTTCTTCAACTTTCCACCGAAAACTTTTTTCAACAAGTTGTTGCTAATGCTCCACGTTTGTACAGACCACGTATAGAAATTGGTAGAAGATTACACAATACGCTTACCCCGGTAACATTTTCTCCGTAAGATCAGATTGTACTCGTATCGATGGAGGAAACAGGTCGCTTACTGTTAACACGTTCGTTTAAACAGCGCAACCTTTGCTCGTGCAACGCAACTTGTTCGAACGCGGTGGCGACTACGCGCGTAATAACGTCCGAAAATCTCTCCGTTAGTGGGAGAACGAGAAGTGTACGTTTCGATGTCCAGTTACATGCTCCTACGAATACTTTCGGAAGTAACTTTAAATGACCCTTACTCACAGGTACATATATATACCGTAACAATGTCAACCGCCAAGGTCAACAACTTTGCGTAAAAAGACAATTCGGAAGATAAGTTAAAAGGTACGCGCGTGAAAATCGCAGGTTTTATCTTATCGTTACTCTCTTTCGAAACAGCGCTAATTTTACTTGAGAAAAATTTCGGAAACGATAACAATAATAGCAAACTGACTGCTGGAAGGATACCCGTAAAAGGAAAGATAGGACAGACGTAGGGTGGTATAAGGATTGAAGCGAAAGAGGAAGCAAAATGTCGAGTCGCGCGTCAAATAAAAATTCGGAGGACGTAACTGGTACTACTTCTCTTCTTCGAAAAAAAAAATCGTAACCTGAAGACGCGTTAATAGAACGTTATTTGGTTAGTAAACTCGTGCTAATAACGATCGATGCTCTTTTCTGTTCGCGCTCGTCGATTATAACCGCTTGTGGATAATTTACACGTCGCGACTTTCCTCCTCCTACTCTTTTAACAACGAACCCACGCCAACTTTGTCACAAATTCTTAATGTTGTATCATTTTCAATATGATATCATGGAAACGGACATCTTACGTTTCATCTACCGGACCGTTCGTTGTATATGAGTTATATTTTATTACCGAATACACAGAAAAAACGTTTGCAGCAGCGTTATAAGACTTCGTGTGGTTATATGTATTTTGCGAAACACGCATTATCACAAACTTTGTCGTTTATTTATGGTCTTATATGTACTCTTTGTTCGTAACATGGTGCTTTTGCGAAGAAAAATAGACGCGTCTTTGCTTCGCACGGCGATTTACACGTATCCTCCTCTTACTATCAGATGATAAAACTGCATCGCCGCCGGGTGGTTCTAAGTATACACATACAGCTACATATATGTACAACAGCTGTACAGCGATGGGGAACATAGAAAGAGTTAGAAATAAGGGTAATGCAAAAGGAAATTCTTAATTAGATATTTTATACAGTGTCGCTTATAGTATGATCAAAGAGATCGATCGAAAATTGCAATCTAATTTTATTGGCTGGCTGG